TCTGCTCTGTACCCACCACAAATCCCCACAAAACTTAACCCAACTTCCCAATTCAGCTCAAACCCCAGATGGGTTTTCACCTATTCAGTCCCACCTCCAGAGTGGGTTCAACCCCTCATTGACGTCTCTGATCTCGTCACGGACCCCAAAAACCTCCAACCCTCCCCTTGGGTTCACCAAATTCTCAACCTTCTGGACAATTCACCAAACATGGAGCACAATTTAGACACTTATTGCCACAAATTTCTCATCAAATTGTCGCCCAGCTTTGTCGCATTCGTGTTGCGTTCCGATCGGCTTCGGGGCCAATTCGACACGGCTTTACGGTTATTCTACTGGACTGGTAAGCAAAAGGGTTATACTCATAATATTGAATGCTATGTTTCTTTGATTGATATACTATCAGTATCTGGTGATTTGAATAGACTTAGAGGTGTGTTTGGTGAATTTAAGGATAGTGGTTTGTTGATGAATGTTTCCGCGGCTAATTCTTTAATTAGGATCTTTGGGAGTTTAGGGATGGTGGAGGAATTGTTGTGGGTGTGGCGTCGAATGAAAGAAAATGATATTGAGGCGAGTTTGTATACGTATAACTTTTTAATGAATGGGTTGGTGAATTCAATGTTTATTCAATCCGCAGAGCGGGTTTTTGAGGTGATGGAAGGTGGGAAGGTTGGGTCAGATGTTGTAACATATAACACAATGATTAAAGGGTATTGTAAGTCAGGGAAGACCCAGAAAGCAATGGAGAAATTTAGAGATATGGAAGTGAGAAATGTGGAACCTGATAAGATCACTTATTTAACTTTGATGCAGGCGTGCTATTCGGAGGGCGATTTCGATTCTTGTTTGAGTCTTTACCAAGAAATGGAAGAGAAGCAATTGGAGATTCCACCTCATGCTTATAGTTTAGTGATTGGAGGGCTTTGTAAAGATGGGAAGTCTTCGGAAGGCTATGCTGTTTTTGAAAATATGGTTCGGAGTGGTTGTAAAGCTAATGTGGCTATATTTACTGCTTTGGTCGATTCATATGCCAAATGTGGGAACATGGAAGAGGCTTTAAGGCTTTTTGAGAGAATGAAGAGTGATGGGTTTGAACCTGATGAAGTAACGTATGGGGTAATTGTTAATGGTTTATGCAAATCTGGGAGGTTGGAGGAGGCTGTGAAGTATTTTAAATGGTGTAAAGTTAACAATGTGTCTGTAAATGCAGTGTTCTACTCAAGTCTCATTGATGGTCTTGGAAAAGCTGGGAGGGTTGATGAAGCTGAGAAACTTTTTGAAGAAATGGTTAAGAAGGGATGCACACGGGATTCATATTGCTATAATGCACTTATTGATGCCTTGGCTAAAAATGGGAAGATTGATGAAGCATTAGTGCTCTTTAAGAGAATGGAAGATGAAGGTTGTGATCAGACTGTGTATACGTATACCATATTAATCGACGGATTATTCAAAGAGCATAGAAATGAAGAGGCATTGAAGTTGTGGGATATGATGATTGATAAGGGTATTACTCCTACTGCTGCTTCTTTTAGAGCTCTTTCAACTGGGCTCTGTCTTTCAGGCAAAGTGGCAAGGGCTTGCATGATTTTAGATGATCTGGCACCGATGGGGATCATTCCAGAAACAGCTTTTGAAGATATGATCAATGTTTTGTGCAAAGCTGGCCGTATTGAGTAGGCTTGCAAGTTGGCCGATAGGACTATTGATAGGGGACGAGAAATACCTGGAAGAGTTCGCACTATTTTGATCAATGCCTTGAGAAAAGCAGGGAACGCAGATTTGGCAATGAAGTTGATGCGTAGTAAGATTGGCATTGGGTATGATAGGATGGGTAGCATTAAAAGGCGGGTGAAGTTTCGTATTCTCATTGACAGTTGATTCTTGGCCAGATTTTGGGTTCCACTTGAATTGAATGATTTGTTTAGCTGTGTGCTTCAAAGCTGGCCTGACATAATTCATCATCTGACTTTGTCGAGCTGATGATGACCCCACCAGAATTTATCTTTTTAATTTAAGAGGTCATCTATAAAGAAAAAGAAGCATCAGAAAATTGGTTTGGGAAGTGATATAATTGACCTCATAACATTATTATCAGATACCCTTCTGATAATTTAGATGGCAGACATGTCTGGTCAAGTTTGGTGTGGATGTTTACAGAGCAGAAAGCTCTAATGTTGTACCAACTATAGTTGTTTGGTACATCTATGCGATCATGTTTGTATGGGAGGTTTTATGCTTTGTATCACCTACCAGATTCCATTGTCGAAGACAATTTTTCCTGAAGAATTTGCTAAGCCTCTTATTGATCATTATCTGAAGAGATGAAGTGGTTTAAAAAGGGCAAATATGCACAAGAACCTTCAAGGTTCCCTCCCTCCTAAGTGGCTGCTGAAATCTTGAAATTTCTTTTGGGAGAATGCCATCTTTGTAAGTACATATACTCTGCCTACATAATTTTCAGATCATCCCTGACTTAATTTTAATGCCAATTGCTCATGTTATGAATAGAAATGATTCTCTTGGGTTGCAAATAGCAGTTGGTCCCCACTCTTTGCATCCATTGCTTATTTGATTTGGTATAACATGTTTGTGTTCTATCCATGGAATGAACATTAGTTGACTTTTGTCTGTTGACAAGGGCCTTGTAAATGAGTAAGCATATCATATGATTGCTATTTGGAAAGAGCTTATACCATTTTTCATAGCATGTAATATTTTGCATGAAATCCTATTTTTGTTGTGAAGATCACACATATTGCTTATATATATATATATATATATATTTGTTTGGAACATCACCAGCTATTTATACTGAGTGTTATTCTAGTTGTCCAACTGACTATTTTAAAAGGACTTCGGTATGAGAATGGGCTTATCCAAACATAAGACCTTCATAAACTTAGATTTTAGGACGTTGAGATATGTATCCTACAGTTAGATATGGCCTAGATGGATACAGGAACATGTCATGGACACATAATATATTACATATTGTATAATATTCTTAGATAAAATATTGTAAAATATGTAGAAATCTACTTGAAAATTAAGTAAGAAAGATTTAGAAAAATGCGGAATTTCTATCTCATTCATGTGGGAGAGAGCACATATTTTTTTATTAGAAGATGTGAATTTTTTCTTCTTCAAACATTATAAAAAATTCAAATATCCCAGTGCTTTCGTCTTCAAATCTACAGATGTTGGCAGTCTGGTGTAAATAATTGGGGTTTGTTGTTCGTATTTGTGTTTTTTGGTTTTCCATTTTGATTGAGTTATATTCTTTGGCTCATCCCAGATGGCTGTGAGCCATTTAGATGAGAAATAGGTAAAGGTTGTTCACTTCCCAAATGTTAGGTTGGTCTTTCTGAGTGTTTGTGATGGGTTTACCATTCAGGTCCAACTCAACTCTTAGGCGGCCGAGGCCAGTCATCTAATGCCTCACTTTTTCGAATATTGTCTAAAGTTTAATAAAGAAAAACCTTTGTTAAAATGCCCAACAAAAACAAGACCCTCTTTATCCAAAGTCCAAAACATATATATGTATTCATTGTCCGAAGACCTCAAATAGAAAAGGAGGGAAAAACACTCCTTTGTTAAAAATATCGTATTTTTTGAAGTCCCAGCAAAAAACAAAAGGCATCTCCAATGAGAGTGTTAAATGCTGACTAGTGTCGGTCACTAAAACAGTTATTGAGTTGGGCTTCCTATTTTTGCTCTAATTGAGCCGTTAGCAGACTACTCCATTAGAGCTGAGTTGCCATATCGACACTAAATAAGCAAATACTTAACGCACAAAGTAAAGCGAGTTTATTATTATTATTATTATTTTCTTTTACGTTTACACTTTAACATTGAATATGCTCTAAGTGATGAATCTTTAAATAAAAAAGAAAAAGAATATGCTCTAAGTGACTACTAGTCGTGAATAAAATTAAATCATGAAATAGTTCAGAAAATCGCTGAACAATCCTAGTTCGCACTATTTTGATCAATGCCTTGAGAAAAGCAGGGAATGCAGATTTGGCAATGAAGTTGATGCGTAGTAAAATTGGCATTGGGTATGATAGGATGGGTAGCATTAAAAGGCGGGTGAAGTTTCGTATTCTCATTGACAGTTGATTCTTGGCCAGATTTTGGGTTCCACTTGAATTGAATGATTTGTTTAGCTGTGTGCTTCAAAGCTGGCCTGACATAATTCATCATCTGACTTTGTCGAGCTGATGATGACCCCACCAGAATTTATCTTTTTAATTTAAGAGGTTATCTATAAAGAAAAAGAAGCATCAGAAAATTGGTTTGGGAAGTAATATAATTGACCTCCTAACATTATTATCAGATACCCTTCTGATAATTTAGATGGCAGACATGTCTGGTCAAGTTTGGTGTGGATGTTTACAGAGCAGAAAACACCAATGGAAGCTCTCACTCTGCTCTGTACCCACCACAAATCCCCACAAAACTTAACCCAACTTCCCAATTCAGCTCAAACCCCAGATGGGTTTTCACCTATTTAGTCCCACCTCCAGAGTGGGTTCAACCCCTCATTGACGTCTCTGATCTCGTCACGGACCCCAAAAACCTCCAACCCTCCCCTTGGGTTCACCAAATTCTCAACCTTCTGGACAATTCACCAAACATGGAGCACAATTTAGACACTTATTGCCACAAATTTCTCATCAAATTGTCGCCCAGCTTTGTCGCATTCGTGTTGCGTTCCGATAGGCTTCGGGGCCAATTCGATACGGCTTTACGGTTATTCTACTGGACTGGTAAGCAAAAGGGTTATACTCATAATATTGAATGCTATGTTTCTTTGATTGATATACTATCAGTATCTGGTGATTTGAATAGACTTAGAGGTGTGTTTGGTGAATTTAAGGATAGTGGTTTGTTGATGAATGTTTCCGCGGCTAATTCTTTAATTAGGATCTTTGGGAGTTTAGGGATGGTGGAGGAATTGTTGTGGGTGTGGCGTCGAATGAAAGAAAATGATATTGAGGCGAGTTTGTATACGTATAACTTTTTAATGAATGGGTTGGTGAATTCAATGTTTATTCAATCCGCAGAGCGGGTTTTTGAGGTGATGGAAGGTGGGAAGGTTGGGTCAGATGTTGTAACATATAACACAATGATTAAAGGGTATTGTAAGTCAGGGAAGACCCAGAAAGCAATGGAGAAATTTAGAGATATGGAAGTGAGAAATGTGGAACCTGATAAGATCACTTATTTAACTTTGATGCAGGCGTGCTATTCGGAGGGCGATTTCGATTCTTGTTTGAGTCTTTACCAAGAAATGGAAGAGAAGCAATTGGAGATTCCACCTCATGCTTATAGTTTAGTGATTGGAGGGCTTTGTAAAGATGGGAAGTCTTCGGAAGGCTATGCTGTTTTTGAAAATATGGTTCGGAGTGGTTGTAAAGCTAATGTGGCTATATTTACTGCTTTGGTCGATTCATATGCCAAATGTGGGAACATGGAAGAGGCTTTAAGGCTTTTTGAGAGAATGAAGAGTGATGGGTTTGAACCTGATGAAGTAACGTATGGGGTAATTGTTAATGGTTTATGCAAATCTGGGAGGTTGGAGGAGGCTGTGAAGTATTTTAAATGGTGTAAAGTTAACAATGTGTCTGTAAATGCAGTGTTCTACTCAAGTCTCATTGATGGTCTTGGAAAAGCTGGGAGGGTTGATGAAGCTGAGAAACTTTTTGAAGAAATGGTTAAGAAGGGATGCACACGGGATTCATATTGCTATAATGCACTTATTGATGCCTTGGCTAAAAATGGGAAGATTGATGAAGCATTAGTGCTCTTTAAGAGAATGGAAGATGAAGGTTGTGATCAGACTGTGTATACGTATACCATATTAATCGACGGATTATTCAAAGAGCATAGAAATGAAGAGGCATTGAAGTTGTGGAATATGATGATTGATAAGGGTATTACTCCTACTGCTGCTTCTTTTAGAGCTCTTTCAACTGGGCTCTGTCTCTCAGGCAAAGTGGCAAGGGCTTGCATGATTTTAGATGATCTGGCACCGATGGGGATCATTCCAGAAACAGCTTTTGAAGATATGATCAATGTTTTGTGCAAAGCTGGCCGTATTGAGCAGGCTTGCAAGTTGGCCGATGGGACTGTTGATAGGGGACGAGAAATACCTGGAAGAGTTCGCACTATTCTGATCAATGCCTTGAGAAAAGCAGGGAATGCAGATTTGGCGGAAGGTCGTCTGGTGATGAATTTGGTGGCGATGGATTCGTCGTGAGGAGACGAAGAGATTGGTGTGGTTGAATAACGAAGACAGAGAAGTTCGAGAGATGCAACAATCTGTCTAAATGTGATGCTCTGATACCATGTAAAATAAATTGATAGAGAGAGAGAGCAAGTGAATAAATGTGTATATTGAATTTGTTGTTGTAATTACAAATGGAGCTTAGCTCTCTATTTATAGTCTGATATTGGATGCGAGGCATGCCATGCGAGACGCGAGGCACCGAAAGGCAAGGCTAAAGCTTTAGCCGAAAGTGAACAAACATAATGATAACAATGAACGGATACAATGCTAATAAACAATACTAAAATAATGCTATAAACAATGCTATATTATATACAAAGTATAATAATATACTAACAAGATGCACACTTGTTTGAATAAAAATGGTAGTTACTAGAGAAAGATAAAATGCCTCACATTCCTCAGAGAAAGATCCTTTTCTCTAGCAAGTGCCAGTATTCTTCCAAGTGTTCCAACATCAATGTGAGGGCATTCATTCTTCAGTAGGTCCTTGTGAATTTTAATATTGACACCGCCATAGAAAACAGCAACCTTGATATCTGGCAAATAGGTGCTGAACCTCTCAAACTCATGGCAGATTTGCAGTAATGATAAACACCAAAAAGAAAGAAAACTAATAAGATAAAAATTGGATTGTCTATGCATACATATATGTCTGTGTGAGTTGTTTGAGGAAGAGAGAGTAATAGATGATGGTTTAAGCCCTACGATTTAGATACATGCCTGGTAAGCTAATTCCCTTGTATGACATAGAACAAGGGCAGCAACTTGACCTGCAACAGGCTCAATTTGCTGCAATGTTGACAGAACAAAAACAGCAGTTTTCCCCATCCCAGATTTCGCTTGACATATGACATCCAAGAAGCTAATCGTCAAAAAATAAAAAATAAATATTGGAAGATGAAAGAAAGGAGAAAAAAAATAGGCAGCTACCCTGACCATGATTTTAAGAAAATATTAAGTATAATGTGTCAACATATTCAATACCAGCAAATAACAACAATAATAATCACTATCTATTTAAAAATAAGCCATAATATCTAAAACTTACCAAAGTGAAACTAAGTAATAGGAGATCCACGACAACCACAACCAGAAAGTACAAAGCTTATGTGTTTCAATTACAGATGCTCATTTTTCTTTAATCTAAATTCTACAAAAGCCTAAGAAGACAACTAGACATCAACAGATAGATGAACATGACATTATGACCAAAACTGAAAGAATGAAAGAAAAACAAAATTAATAGTTATTCTAAGACATAAAAAATCTATTTATGAATTTGAATGACTATATGAATAAATATCTTGCCTTCAGATGGATGCTCAAATCCAGAGTCCACAATAGCCCGCAGAAGCTCTGGCTTCAAAAGAAAATCTCTGAATCCGGAGCTGTGAATTTCGACATAGCCCCTACAAAAAATAAATAAATAGGAGAACGAATTAGAAATTTACAGTATATGATAACATTTATCCAGACTGAAACATAACACGATAAGATTTATAAAGATTGGAACATCACTGGAGAAAGATGCAGACTTGACAATTTATACCAGAGCAAAGCATCTACAAAAAAACAACTTAAAAGAAAAATGCAATTTTCTTGTGACAAACTGTGACAATCTTTTCGAAAATGAAAAACCAAAAAAAAAAAAAAAATTAAGTGGATAAAGATAATCAAATGCATCAAATTGAAAGGGAATAAATCGAAAGCTACCACGATGATAAAAATTGATGTGTGTATATAGTATGTATGTATTGATTTTTAAGATCAATAGTGAAAAGCAAAAGGACCAATCAGATCTTTAAGATCCCCACAAGAAAGCTCTGAATATTTTTAGAGAGAGAGAGAGAGAGAGAGCATACGCAAGACGGAGCATCAATGGAGCATAGTTCATCTCAGCGATGAAGCCTATGGATCTCGCAGCGGTGGATCTGTGAAGATCGGCGGAGGAGGAGGAGGAGGCGGCGACGTGAGAAGGAGGTGCTCCGGTTTCCGTCGAAGGCGAAGAAGAGCGGCAGTGAGAGAGGGAGGGGAGAGGAGTAGCGGAGACAGGGAATGAGAGGGAGAGGGACGGCGAATAGAGAGAGAGAGAGAGGCACAGATTATTTTAGGGTTTGGTTTGGTACAAAATATATATATATTATTTTATACAATTGACGACTAAAATACGTAATGGTCGCCAATTACTTATATGGTACACCATTAGCGACAAAAATCTTTAGTCGCCAATTACTTTTATAAATCCCTCAAACTTAAATTAGAAATGTCTCCTTCCAATTTTTTATTTTTTGGCGACTAAACTAATTTTTAGTCGCTGAAAATATGTTTTGGCGACTAAAAGATGTTTTTATTTTTTTTAATTTTACATTTGGCGACTAAATATTTTAGTAGCCAATACCTAATATACGGCGACTAAACTAATTTTTGGTCGCTGAAAATATGTTTTGGCAACTAAACTTTTGGTCGCCAAAAGATAAAAAAATAAATTATTAATTTTACATTCAGTGACTAAATATTTTAGTAGCCAAAACTCAATATACGGCGACTAAAATTTTTTTTTGTCACCAATTCTAGTATTTTTAGCGACTAAATTATTTTTTAGTCGCCAATAATCAATATATTCCGACTAAAAAAATTTAGTAGCTAAAATTTATACTTTTGGCGACCAAAAAAAAGTTTTAGTCGCCAATTCTAACACTTTTGGCGACTAAATTTATTTTAGTTGCCAATTTTAGTCGCCAAAGATGTATTTTGTTGTAGTGTATTTATCCTAATAAATAAATAAAAAATTATGAAAGTACCTTCTAAATTAAAAAAATAATAACAATAAATTATCAAACATGTCAAAGAATAAAAACTTATAAATATAATTTAAAATACATTTTATACTTTCACCTGAGAATCAAAAAGGAAAATTTGATGAGTAATTATACAAAACTTGAAAAGAATAGTTAAGATACTCAAAACTTTTTTTGCAAATCGTTTAAAAATTAGACATTAAATATAATTAAATAGTTTAATCATTTTCATACATTTCTATTTAGAATATAATGTAAGGACTGTTAATTTTTTTGAGAGACTTACCTATTAAGTAAACTTATTATCCAATAGGTTCTATGATAATTAATGACATTTTTTATCATGCATTATTAAAAAACGTCATTAATTGTTTATTTTCAGCGATAGTTTGAAAATTGCCATAAAAAATGTCACAAATTATAACTTTTAGTGACAGTTTAAAAAAATCATTACAAAAAAATGTCACTAATTTTTAACTTTCAGCGACAATTTAAAAAATTCTTAATAGAAAAACATCACTAATTGTAAATTTTAACGACAATTTATTAAAACTGTAAAAAAAAGTCACTAATTGTCAATTTTTAACAACTTATGTAAAAAATCGTCACAGAAATTATTTTTAACGACGATTGTAATAAGACTTGATTCGAATTAAATCTAACTATTAGAATATATTGATAGTTTACCAAATTTTTTTCCATTACAAGCTTTTTGTTGTAATAAGACTTGATTCGAAAGAATGTGGCTCATTCTTTTTTTTTTTTTGATTGGCAAAGAAAAAAGAAACTTTTATTGACGAAATGAGCAAGTACAAGCACCAACATACATCAATAAAAGAGAAAAGTGCAAAAACATTATAGCTATCACTCCACAATCCCAATTAGGTTGGCACCAAGGAAAAAGCACAATCATCTGTTAGCACTAAACTGACTGACTGGCGAGATACCAATCCAAAACATAGAAAAAATACTAAAAAGGGCTGCCAAGAACACCTACAGCAAACTCCTCCGAATAGAAGCCAAATTCAAAATTGTTCCCCATGAGGTACACTTCCTCAATATCTTTCCATTGAGCTAGGAAAGCAGGTATTTGATTGGCTCACTCTTAGATTGGCTGGTCATTGAATTTGTTGTTTCTTTCCCACTAGGGTTAGGGTTTATAGTTTGTTAGACTATATCAATTATCAATTAATAAAAAAATAAAAAATAAAAATAAATCTTTTGAACTTTATGTCATAAAATGTTAAAAAATCTACGAAAATAATTCTCACAAAATGAAATATGTAGTGTCAAATTTTTTGATACATGTGTAGAACTATTATTCAGAATTGAAATATATGAACACAATTTATTTATTAGCTCCAAAACACATTAATTTTTAATGTACACTTTATTCTCTACTTTATGCGTAAAACTTTTATTAAATTTTCTACATAACCAAAATTATTAGTGGTTTAGATTTAAACTTTATGTCACATGGACTACATTGAGAATGAATTTGATACTAATAATTCAATTTTTCGAATAATTTTTCACAAGCCACAATCAATGCCTTGGCGACTAATACTTCATCTCTCTTACGTTCATAAAATTTCTTTCTTTTTTGATAAAAAAAATGTCTTAGTGAACTAAGTGCCAATCAGTCTCTCTCTCTTTTTCTTTTTTTCTTTTTTTTTATCAGCAAAATTTTTTTTATTGATAATAAAAAAGGAAAAGTTCAAATATTGCTCTCCATAGACAGAGAGCATGGTTGAAAACTTAATTTGTGTTCTAAACACCTCAAGAAACACATCACACATACAGCTTAATTGGGCTTAAGGTACTACAAATTGGAAATTTTAGAAATATTTTTTCCCCTACTATTTCAATCAATTAAAGATGAGAGGGAAGAAAAAGAGAAACTGTTTTACTAGTGTGAGGACCAGAGACTAGAAATTTTAAGAATATTTGTTTTTCTACTATTTTGGATAACTATAGAAAAGAAGAAAAAAATTTATAGAGTTCTATCTAACCACGCCAATTATTGTGCAGTTATATTACATTGTAGTGGTTACAAAATTATCTCAGAATATGTAATTACATTTGAATAGTGAAGTTTACTATCTCATGTATGGATTGATATTACATACATTATTATATTGAACTAAGGGACTCTAACTTAGTTGGCTAGTCCTTTGGCCACCAAGTCGCTCTGAAGGAGGGGTCTTATGTTTCACTCTTAAAAATGAAATGGGAGGGTAAGATTTTTTTACAAAGTGTATAGGTACGAGTTTCAGCTCTCAAAATACTAATTTAATAACTAACCACTATGATTTAAAAAAAAAAAAAAAAAACCATTAAATTTTTACTCATGTTTGAGAGTGATTTCAAGAGATATGCAACATTAACAGTCACCAAATTACAAAGCACTTTTGTACGTGTTTTTGAACTAAACATTTCTTGAGCGAAGTGTATGATAACCATATTTAAATGCCACACTAGAACAAAAGCACCATAACTTTAGCCTTTGTTACTGCTCAAATAGCCTTCTTTAGGGTACCAGAACAAAATATATAACTTATAAATAACATAAAACACATATAAATCCTATGGTGTACATATTCAAACCATTCCTTAGCTGGAATCAATGCTTCCATGCTGCAATGTAAATCTTTTGGAAATTGTTTCCTACACACTTCATGAGACAAGTTTATGAAATGAAACACGAAACACCACCTTGATCTTGATTTGGGTCCAAATCCTCTCTATTACATGGAGGGAATAGTGATATGTCCACATGAGCTTTACTTCATTTTTGAGGAAACTCATCATTGTTATTTGATTGGCTTCCACCACTATTTTGAGAGGGGACGAGCTTTGGTTTCATGGATTGACCTAAGGAGTAGAGAGTTGGTGCAAGAGAATTCGACAAGGGATTTTGAGAACTTGAGCTCAACATTTGAAAGTGACTGATTTGTTTAGGATCGAACTCATGTGAAGGGAAATAGGATTGAGTTGTCCCTGGCGGATACACCAGAACTTGAGACAATGTTGATGGCAATGGCACAACGTTGAAGTTTTGGGAATCTTCGGTTTGGGAGAAAGGAAAATTTGAAGGATCCCAACGATAGAAAGGATTGTATGGCATGACATTATTAAGCAAACCTGGTATGGAAGAATGATTGGATTTTGGGAAAAATTTATTGGGTGAAGCATTTGCACCGTGACTTTCAAGACATTCTTGTTTTTCTTCTTCATTTCTCTGATTCCAATCTTGTTTCTCATCAGCTATTTCTGTTTCAACCTCCTTTGACCTAGCTAGTCCCAATTGATCATCCCAATCAAGACTATTATTGATCTTAAGGCCTTCTTTGTCTCCTAGATTAGCTACCAATGTTTGATGATTTTGTCCAAAGTTTGGCATTTGGAGTGGTGGGAGTTCATCAATTTCATGCTTAGCCACATTTAGCAACCAATCAACCACCTTACTTGGCTGATTAAGCCCAAGCCTGTCTTGAAGATCATACAATTGAATAGCAGTTGGAACCGAAAGCCTTACCCGCCTGTCTCTCAACCCTTTCACAGTGCAAACTTTGCTGTGCCGGTCTTTTCCTCCAAAAGCACGTGACACACGCACAATCCGTGGATCATTCAGCCTTGACCATGTTGTGATTGAACTAGAAGAAGAACCCTTAGATTTCTTTCCATGATCAACTGTGTTGCCTTCCTCCTGTTTTGTTGTAAATTCTGATTCTCTTGAAGTTGTTATCATCTTATGTTATGTCTATCATTATAGGTGCAAAAGCAACTGAAACAACTGAATTTGTTAGGGTAGCAGGCTTGCAGCTTACTTAAAGCATAACCTACTTTTCAAAAACATACACAAACTAGGTTGATCAAAACACTTCTACAACACTGTATGCATATAGGCTATAGCATATCAGATTAAGATATATTCACAAAAAAGAGAGGAATTTTGAGTAAGAAATGCACATAAAGCAAGGGATAATGTTCTAAGTAGATCAATCAATTGGTTGCCAACCCTCCAATTTTTTCCTATCAATTTTTTATTTATTTATTTATTATTTTTGAATGGGAACTACATTGTACAATGTTGTGAGTACAAATTCATTATGACCTAGTTAACTCACAGCAAAAGATACTCACTTTGTTGGAAATAAGTGATGTATAAATTGCTAAAAATATCAGGCAAACTTTTTGAATGTTTTCCTTCAAAAAAAACTAAATCATTCAAAAAAAAAAAAAAAAATCCCTAAAAATCTTCAACCCTTTTGGTGGGTATGATAACATAGAACTGGTACATTCATCAATGCATCTGACGAGTTTAGCTTCCCATATGCACAAAGACGAAAATGTTATTAAAGAGAGAGAAGCTTGTCACTGTTCGGATAAAAATCATTAGAGAAAATTCATCAGTTTTTATGTCTGCTACTTCAGTAAATCGTTTTCTTTCTCTTTCTCTGCAAACAAACAGTGGCAGGAATCTCAAGACGGGGCACAACGAATCGTCCCAAGATCCCAGACAGAAGTCTTTTGGTCAGACTACTAGATGTTTAGTCCTACTCATCCTTTTTAACACACCCCCACAGACCCATTGCTTACAATTCCCAAATCTCAGTTTTATTCCAGATGCATAATCACTTGACTATATTTATTAGAAGGAAAATGATTCCCAAAGTATAAGGAAATGTAAGTCATAGGGATGCTCTCTCTCTCTCTCTCCACAGCCTCTTGTAAGTAAAGGGAGGAGTCACAAGGAAGATGATGACAGAGAAAAATGAAGGAAGGAGTTTTAAATGTTTTTATTTGTCTTTCCATATCATATTCACATATATTCACCAAAAAAGGAAATTCAATGAAAAAAATCACATAAAGCAAGGGATAATATTCTAAATAGATGAATTTGGTTGACAACCCTCAAATTTATGATACAACCAATTGTGTCCTTTATTTGATGTACAAACTCATCATGATTTAGTTAATTCAAGTTCAAAAACAAAAGAAAAATTCTATGAACACATAAACCAATTACAGAATCGGACACAACTCCGGTTCTATGATTGATTTATGAGCAAATAGAAGAATTGAAAATATCAGGCAAACTTTACTTACATGAGTATGGAAAGCTTTATGCTACTTGTACTGTATCAGGTTTTGATCCTTGATTGTAAACTGAAGGGGAAGGTATAAGGTAAGTATATGGTGGCCTTTCACTCAAGTTTGATGCAATTTCCTGAATTTGGTATTCAACTCTACCAAGCTGTGTATATTATAGGCTATGTTAATGGAGAAATCCACTTTCAGAGAAGAGAATATAAACTTATTGAGGAACATGTGCATATGGAGAAAGAGAAGATGCTGTAATTCAACCGACCATGCTCCACACTCCACAGATAAATAAAGAAGAAGCAATGGTGCACATGCTTCCACGTGGCAGACCTAGGCATCTGTCAACTAAATGTGCTAATCAAAATCTTATCATTCTATTGTCACGTAACACGTTTACTAACTGATGAATAATTTGTATGTATCTAATTACTCCACGGTATTGTCCTTGTATCATTAGTTATTTTGTATGAAATATACGTTTTGTCTTGGTATATTGTTCTATAGAAACAAAGTACTGATGATTTGGATTGGGACCATACTAGCACTTTTTTTAAAATTTTAGGAGGGACCATCCTAGCACGCTTTGAAAAGTTGCGCCTAACACTTTATCAACAAAAGGGATTGTGATAGAATTCTCATCACATGGGTCAACAAATGCACGCTTGCTAGCAAGGATGATGTTATTTGTGTGATTAAACCTTTGAAAAATAGTTTGCATTTCATCTGTTAAAATATGTGTAATTCAATCTTCATAACAAAGAAACAAAAAAAATCTTGCTCATAATACATCATTTTTTGTGCTTGGCATCAAACTAGGAATGGTAACATGGTATGTAAACCAAACTTGCAGCTTTTGCTAGTCAATGTTGGAAACTAACTTTTTACTTCTATGCTATGTTCTTTGTAAGCTGCAAGATGTTTCTCAATCAATGCACAAAAGTTTGCCTACACATAAGCTAGAAAGTGAAGACATATTTTTGTATCCAAGTGTACAATTTGTCACCAAATAAAATAGCAACAGGAGATTATACAATTTTACAGTATGTGTTGGAGGAGATTTTCGGCACCTCACTAGGTATGGGAAGGAATGCTAGCATCTTAATGTTTAAGTGGAGTTTCTCAATTTTCTATTTTGATTGTTTGTCACTATTCATTAGGATATGCTTTGTAGAGTTTTAAAGTATAGTCTTTAATCTTAGCTCCATATAATAATTTCTCTTGACTTTATAAAAATTTTTCGCTGATAAAATGAAGATCATACTATTTTATAGAAAAGAAATTAAATTCAGAGATTCAAAAAAAAATAAAAAGAAAAGAGAAATGCACTTAGATAGGTCCATTCAATGGTTTCAAAAGATTTGGTCGATACATAGCAGCATTGTCATCTTGATGCATCCAATAGCAACTGGGAACATCGAAAGGCTACCCTTATAGATGAGGGACCAACACCTTCTTTAAAGGCCCACCGAGTATAGAGAGAGAGAGGACCACACAACTTTCCGGCAGAGAGATTTGCAGGAAAGCAAGTTGACGTGTTAAACCTAAAAAACTGACAATCAATCAGTCATTAATCCATAGATATGAAATCAAAGGAAGTATGGACGTGTAGAAGTTTCTTTCTCAACTTTGGAAAGAATCTCAAAATATATATATACTCTGTTTTCTGTTTTTATAATTCACTTTTAAAAAAAAAATTATTTTTTTATTTTTTGTATTATTTTTTTTGTTTTCACCGAATTTTTTTAATATTTTTAACTTTTTTTTAATTCACACCTAACATAGATACATTTAGAAAATATAATATTTGTGAAATTTTTTTTTTGAAAAATTCACTAAATATCAAAAATATTTAAAAAAATACAAAAATTCAGTATATTTTTCTTATTTTTGTGTATTTTTCAATTTTTTAAAATATTTTTTCACAAATAATTTACTATTTAGATACATTTAAGTAATGTACATAAAAAAAAGTTAAAAAAAAATTACTTAAAATTTAAAAAATACTCATTAAAAACAAAAAATATGAAAAACAAAAAAATTCAATTTTCAAAAAAATGAAACCAAATCCACTTATTTGCTTTTTCAACTTTCTTCAATGGTTTAGGCATTCTCTAATTGAGAAGATTTTCTGACTAGGGCCCTTTAGTTAGGGAACTTGAGGAAAATTAATAAACGCGCAATCATAGAACTGGACATAAATCATTTACAAAGATTCTCGCGGTGAAACCTATCATGGCCAAATTCTGTGCATGTAGAATTACTCTTGCTCAAATAGTGAGCAACCAAAATATTCTTACCTATTCCCTCATGCGTGTTCTTGCATCTAGTAAACATTGTGGGAATAATAAAAGCATAACATAAAAAAATTGCACTAGTAAGTGTGCCTGTGCATGGAGATGTGTCGTTGGGAGAAGAACCGTCCCTGTTGATGCTTGAGGATAGAATAGATCAAATTTTTGTCTCAAAAATCAAAGAAGAATATGAGAAAATATTAACTTCTTGCATTTATAGAATTATATTATATATGTATATATACATCTGTGGATGAAATTCTATACAGATATCAACACAACTCCATTGACATGCTGTGAACACAAAGAAAATCATAACTCTAAAAAAAATCTTGTGTTGCCATGACAAACCAAAATTAAGTAAAAATGGAATTTTTATGAAATTTTTTGGGACTTGATTTAAAGATTCAGAACAAGAACCATTATATTCATAAAGAATTACTGTTGTCATCATCACAGACAAGTAAATAAGTGTAATCCTTAAAATTTTTGAGTGTGTTTTCCTTCAAAGAAACTAAAAGAAGAAAAAAGAAAACCCTAAAAATCTTCAAACCCTTGTGGTAGAATGACAGCAGAGAACTGATACGTTCAACGGAAGCTACTGACAAAAATGCAATTAAAGAAAGAGGAGGCCACGGCTTGGATGAAAATCATTAGAGAAAATTTATGAGCTTTTTATGTCTCTTTCTCTTTTGTAAATTGTTTTCTCTTTCTCTTTCTCTTTCTCTTTCTCTGGAAACAAACAGTGGTGGGAATCTCAAGGAGGGGCACAAATAGGTACAATACCATTTAGTATAGCAAAAAAAATGGTCCCCATATCCCAGACAGAAGCCTTTTGGTCAGATTACTAAACGTTTAGTCTTACTCATCCTTCCAACGCACCACGGCAGCATCTCCACCCAATCCATTAAGAATAAGGGCAAATTACATATACACCCCTCGAGGTTTGACTAAATTACAAATACCCCTGAGGTTTGAGAAATTACGAATTCCTCCCTGAATGCTATATTTACATAAGAAATTAGGGGGTAATTTGTTATGAAATATAAACCTCAGGGGGTAAATTGTTATGAAAATACAAACCTCAGGGGGCGGGATGTAATTTCCGAAACCTCAGGGGAGTATCTGTAATTTTACCAAACCTCGAGGGGTGTATATGTAATTTGCCCTTTGAATAATGACTGAGACCCAGGGGTAACCTCCACCACCCCCTATTTTTTGATTGGTTAAATTTTTTTTTTTTTTTTCGATCAACAACAAAGATCCTTTTATGGATGATGGAAACCTTACAAGAAGAAAGAAACATCAACAAAAATGATATATTATTTATTAAAAATATGATAATTATATTTAATTTTTTATATTTTGTTTCTCGTAAATAAAATTTTATATATAAATTTAAGAGTTTTGTTTCAAATGTTCATTTACTATAATATATAGTATAGATGGATAAAAATTGTTGTATTGACAATTAACAATTAAAATTATGCTTTGTAACAAATAAAAAATGACATAGTTCTAATATTTCACCATTTTAGAATAAAAATATATGAATTTTAAAAAATTATTATATTGATTTTTGAAAGGGAAATAATTAAAAAAAATTTAAACACTTAATGAGTAAGAAAGAATCATCGCAACATATAATTTAAAATATAAAAAAAAAAGCTAAAAAATGAATAAAGACTTTAAAAAGATGTGATTACAATTAAAACTAATGTCATATTTATTAATAAGTATAATTTTATTTGGATATCTATTTATACTTTAACATGCTTATTAAAAATATTAATAATTTTAAGTTTTAAAATATGATTTTGTAAACTTGTTATATTAACTTTTGGAAGGAATATATTGGAATTTTTTTACAAAAATTGAATATTAATCATTGAACAAATCTTATAAGATTTAAAATAAAATTTATTATAGGAATAAATTAATAATATTGCAACATATGCATTTTAACAATTTTATATTTTAAAAAAAAATAGATTAGGACTTTTAGAGCCTTTTATGTTTGTCGTTTTGTGGCATTTTTCAAAAACGTGCCACTAAATATCATTTTTTGTGGCATTTTCTAAAAATATGCCACTAGTGTAGTGCCACTAAAGTATGTTTTTGTTGTAGTGACATTTGTATTTATATAATAATATAAATAAGGTTAGGTAATAGATAGATTAAAATTAATTATAAATATAGTTATATTTAAAAAGATATGGTTTTGTATAGCTATATTTTAAATTCCAAATTTTATTTTTTAACTTCTTATTTAAAAATATTCAAAATTTTAAATTACATATGATCTTTTTCTAAAAACATATTGATGAGTCGTTTCACACACAAAAAATAAACACTAAATTATATCAAATTCCTTAGAATAACGGTAAGTCCAGGTATCAATCCACAGGAACAAATAGAAAATTAAACTAATTTAATTCTTAAATTCCTAAATTAATTTTGATGAAAGAGATGGTTGTTCATAACTTAATGATAATTAAATTAAATAAAGCGAATAAATTAGCAATTACAAATAAAGATGAAATTACTGATTTCGGAAAAACGTAAGGTAATGAATTCACCACTAGTTACATAAACACGATTTCAATCTGAAAATCAATTATGTTACGGTTCGAACCAAATAATACTTCGCAACTACAAGCTCAAAACATTGATCAAGAGAATTAACACATTCAATGTATACGCACAAACCATCTCAAGTAATACAAGTCGTTTGCTCTAAACTAGGGTAACAACATGACTCGTCCCTCCTAGTATGGCTCATTTCATACCTTGAACATGAAAGAATAGAAAATCAGTACATGAAAAGTATTCAACAATCACAGAAAGCAAAATATTTGAAGAAATAATGAAAAATTATATTTGAAAACTTCTTGAATACCATACAACTGTTCAAACCATTATATAAAAGAAAACCAAAAAGAAAACCTATTTACTTGGCTAGAGTTTCATCA